GATAACAAAAAAATTTTGTTTTACAGACATACATGAAATCATAATAAACTTGAATGTTCTCAAAACATCATGGTGTGGAAGAACAAAAAGAATATTCGCAAACACTAAAAACCTGCCAAATTAATAAACAAACAAATCTATTGGTTCAAAAAATATGCTGACTAAGCAAAATAAAGTTTTTAATAGAGTATTCTGTTGAAATGTTTTAGAAATTGTATTATTCCATTTTGAGATTTCTAGCATAAATTGTTTTAAGGATATATTATCAATACTATGGAGCCACATCTGCAAAGCCATAAATCTTTTAAACTATTATTATTTGTTTACAAAAATAAATGTTTTACAATATATAATTTTTAATTGTCAAAAGTTTATTATAAATTTTTTTTTTTTTTTTTTTTTTTTTTTTTTAACATCTTCACTTCCAACAAGCCTGCAAGCAACCACTATAAGAGTTGGAAGTTACTGGAAGAGAAAAGACTAAATCTGTAGAGCAAGATAACGATTGACTGATGACTTAAAAGATTGCAAATTATATGAATCAGGAAAGCAAGATGAAGGAAGCGAATTCCAAAGAACTGATGTTCGAGGAAAAAAACTAGAAGAATAAGAGTTTTTGAAGCACTTAGGAACAGTCACAGAAAAAGGATGAGACTTAATTGAATGGCGAGTAACACGAGAATGAATTTTAGTAGATGGCACAAGGGACGCTAGCTCTTTAGAGCAGTGCCTATTATAGTATTTGTAGAAAAGAGAAAGAGAAGCAACATTACGACGATGTGACAAAGGTTGGAGATTGGCTGCCAGAGCAGGTCCAACTATGTTTACAATTCGTTTTTGCACCTTGTCTAAAAGAGAAAGAGCATCATTAGAAGATCCGCCCCAGATGTGGCAACAGTATTCCATACAGGGACGGATTTGAGATTTATAGAGATAGAGAATAGAATCTGGAGTAAGAAAGTGTCGAGCTCGATAAAGAGATGCAACCTTAGCAGATGCTAATTTTGCAATGGAATTGATATAAATTATAAATTTTATTAGTATATTCTTATTTTTTATTTAAAAAGTATGTATTTTTTTATGTAAATGTCATTTTGTGTATCTGTTTTTTATCATAATGTAATCTTTTAAATCAATTTTTATGATTTAATTTGTAAACAAAGACTGGCAAAAATTATTGCCTTTTCAATGAAGTTATAATCATTAAAGTTAGTAAAACTAATTATGTAATAAACATATAAGAAGTTTCTGGTTACTAAACAAACAATGCATATAAAGTAACTCGCAGATAAACAAGCAGAACACAAATATATATAGCAAGTTATTAGATATAAAGAAAAGTTTCTAGATATTAGTTTACGGAGTCTAATTATTTTCGCTTCAGTTGTCATTCTTAAAAACTCTTTATACTTTTTTCTGCTTTATATACTAATTAAAATTAAAAAGCCCACTCGCTAAACATCATCAGCGATATTGTGAAGCAGTTTTGCTTCATCGTCATAAAGTATTTTTAACCTTTTTAGTTGATTTCTATCTAGTTAATTTAATTTCTATAGTAATTCAATGATTTAATTATTTCATTTGTTCATCTTACTTTTTCAAATATGTTCAACTTTTCAAACTATGTAAAACATAAAATAGGTATTAAAAAATTAACTTTTTCATTTATAAAATAATTTAGCTTTGATAAAACTAAAATTTGCATTAGTTTTATTAGAATCTTGTTAGACTTTTCGGGGCCAGGGCTATTTTTATATTGGATGCTTTTGTATGTGCCACATCATAAAAATGACTAAACACAAAGGTCTTCTGAACTTTTTTGAGGCCCTAACATTGCGGGGCCCAGTGCTATTGCCTCTCTAAACCCAACCATCCTTAATCTAGCACTGGAAATAAGACACGAGTATGTAATTAAAAATTATGTTACTCTTTGTTAAATAAAGAACATTTGTTTCCTTTTTAAACAAACATGAGATGTTACTTTATATAAAAAACGTCGCTTAATTTTATAAAAAAATTATAAAATAGTGATGTTTTGAAGATATTTGTTCTAAATGTAATTTATTTTTCTTTAAGTTTTTTTGCGTTAAAAGATGTTTTATTTTCCTAATTTTTTATTTTTTGTAATTGTCTCTTATCGGTCCAATTAATCTTTTGCGCATTTTTTTTTGTTTTTTGAAATGTTCTCAAAACAACTAAAAAGTCTGGTCAGCTAAATATTATTTCCGTGGTCAGCAAAAAAAAGAGAGATCATTTTTTCAGAAAAAATACCAAGGTATTTGAAGTGTCATAGATATTGGTGCGGGTTGCCCTAATAGTGCTATCTTCCCTGTTTGTACTTTGTGATTAGGGTGCATACATTTTTTTCCTTGTTTCCATCCTATTCCTAATGTGTAGCAATGATATGCACAAATTTTCTCTGTATTGTTAAAATTTCTGTTTTATTTACAAATCTCCAATTTAAAATTTACAATTTTCAATTGGAGATTTTTCGTTTCAATCACCAGCTAGCTCATAGCTCTTTAAGACCATAAAATATAATATAAAATAGAGTAACAAGGAAACATACTGAATTCTAAATAAATATAGAAGCATCAAGAAAATATCTATACTTTATATGTTATTTTTTCTGAACTGTTGCAATACTCCACAAGTAAATTTTATAAGTAAGGTAGATTAAAGATCAATACAAGTTTTTTAAAATTAAAATTAAAAAAACTTGTGAACCCAGGGCTTTAATCATTATTATGTCACAATCTATGCAATAAGATTAGAATTTCATTTTTGAGTTCAATTTTGTGGCAAAGCCTTTAGATTTGATGATTCAAATATTGGATAGTTTTTATCCAATTGATGATTTTATACTTGTACGTATTTAACTAGATAGAGATTTATAATAACAAAAAAAAATGAAAATTTATAATAACAAAAAAAAATCATTTTTTTGTCATTGAAAATGACAAAAAAATCATTTTTCGCATATTTTAAATCATGATATTTAGACAAAGGAAAAAATTTCCTTTACCAATTTTATTAATTTTTGGTCTGAACTAGCCAATAAATAATAATATAGTGGAATACTTGTTGTAAAGTATTTACTTTTCTTTTTTTTTTGAGTTCAAAAATTGCCTTCGACACCATTTGGTCAATATTTCTAATATCTAAATAACCAATTAACACATTTTAAAAAAATTTTGGAATTGAGCTTCTAGTATGAGTAGTAACAACATATTAAAAATTTAGCTATTTTGAAAGAGGTCACTTTGAAATTTAGTGTTTTTGGCTGATTCTACTCTTAAATACCGCTTTTAAATTAAAAGCTTAAAAATTTCAACTGTTTATGAACTTTAAGGTGTTTTTAAGGTCTATGACCTTTAAGGTGTTATGAGCTTTAAAGTGTTTATGGGCTTTAAGGTGTTTTTAAGGTTTATGAACTTTAAAGGTCCTTAAAGGTTGATTTAATCTAAATAGAAGAAAAGAGTTTTAGTGGAAGTTAGAATAAAATGCTTTTAAAATGTTTTTACAGAAATTCGGTTGTTTTCAAATTTATCTAGACAAACACAATAGTTTTAGGTAAATATATGAAAACTCTAAGAGACTTTAGCAACGTGTTTTCATGGATATTTTGGAAAAACATTGAACCCAAACTATTATGATCATGTTAAAAAGTTTTTACAAAGTTTCAAAGATCTTGATTCAAATATTACTCATAAAGTTCATATAGTGTAGTAGCATGAAGAAGAATTTATACAAAAAATATAAAGAGTTATGCGTTGAGTTAAGAGTTATAAAAGTTCATATAGTGTAGTAGTTATGTAAGAAAGTTTGGTAAGTGTAAAATTAAAAAAGCAACAATTAACATTTTAACTTAAAAAAATATAGTTGGTCAAACAATCAAACAGATTATTTATTGTTATTTGATCCCCTCCCTCGGATTTAAAGGTAGGTCAGAGGGGCATTGCAAATGAGTTTTCTTAAAAAAAGTATTGCAGATGAGTTTTCTTAAAAATAGTATTGCAAATGAGTAAATGAGTCTTAAAAAGCTTCTGACAAATGATTTAAATTTTGATAGTTTTGGAATGTGCAAGTGGAGTGCTTCTAAAATCAAAAAAAAAAAAACGTTTATGGAATAAAATATAAGGTCTTAGGTGACCTTCAGGGTATCTGTGTAAACCTTAAATATATTGTTTTTAATTTTTAGTGTTTTATGATACCCTAGAAATAACACAATACTGGTTAATTAAAGTTTAAGATTTGAAAAACACTTTTCTGATGCTTGAAAAAATGATGCTAAGAAAAAAATAATTTTGCTTTTTAATTTTTTTTTTTTTTTTTTTGAAGGAAAATGTCACTGAAACTTTTCATTCAAGTTCAATATAGATAGTTATTCAGTATTATATAAATTTTCATTCAAGTTCAATATAGATAGTTATTCAGTATTATATAAATTTTCATTCAAGTTCAATATAGATAGTTATTCAGTATTATATAAATTTACAATAATAAATTAAAACTAAAAGAGGATAATGCCTTAATCAATCATCAAGAATAGTAACTTGTCTGAAATTTAAATTTAATATATATAATATAAATATAATAAATATAAATATAATAAATTTAAATTAAAAGTTTATTATAAATAAACATAAATAAACATAAATAAATGTTTGTCATGTAATCTTAAAGACTTTATAAAACATTTTTACAGAAAGTAATATCCTTCATTTTATATGCACTTTTACCTTTTTTGAAAAGTTTATACTTTTTTCATTTTAAAATATTCTCCATTTTAAATATTCACCATAAAAAAAATATTACAATTATTGAATAAATGATAATATTCTATATTTTTTTATTTTAAATTTCTTGATCTTTGTTTTTAAATTTTTTTGTAATTTATAGTTGTTTTTTTTATATATATATTTTCTTACTTTTTTATCTTATTATTATTTATATTTTACTTAGATCAGTATTTTTATTGTTTTACATATTTTACTTAGATTGCTGGAGAATTTCAAATTCCAATTTCTTGTCAACGTTGGATAATCAATGACAGAGTTGTTAAAGATCATGAGTTGCTATCGAAATGCGGTGTGCAACATTCTGGAACAGTTATTTTTTTATATTTGATTTCGAAATTTGAAAGTAAAATACACAAATCTATTCAAACTTGTGAACCTGATTGATATTAAGAAACTAAAAATAAAAATATGCTACCTGGTAACTTTCTAATGTATTGTTTTACTTTGTGTGTGTATATGAATATTGTTTGTGTGTATTAAGTGTATGAATAAAAAGCACATTTCATTTTTTTGGAAGTGGCATAGCAGCAAAAAATTAACATGGAAATGTAAATCTTAACTTGTTCTTAATTGTTTCTGCCTTATAACACTTCCCTTAGAAATTGAATAATCATCAATGTTTCCTAAACTGTTATTTATAAGAGAAGTGAGTTTTCACTCAGTCCAGCTAAAATTATTCCAAATCTGATTCAGTTGGAGCTAAATTTTCTTCAATACTTTTTTGAACAAAAATAGAAACAGCATCAGACCTTTTAAATTTTCTAAAAGGCTAGAGATTTATTTATCTTATTTTCTCCATTAATGTATGTATCTAACCATTTTGTTTATGAGTTATAAAAGTTCATATAGTGTAGTAGTTATGTAAGAAAGTTTGGTAAGTGTAAAATTAAAAAAGCTGGTCAGTAATTATTACTATATTATCAGGTAAAAAAAATGCTGGTCAGTATTTTTTTTACCTGATAATATAGTAGACATCTGATATGCTGGTTAGTATTTTTTTACCTGATAAAGGAGGAAAGGTAAATTTTTTTAATCATGAGACAATCTCCTATTTCAATACACTGAGCCATAAAAAAAATCACAAAGTACACATGAAGCTATATTAATTTTAAAAATGTTTAGAAAATTAACACAGTAAAATCTCTGTCATAGAGTTTTAATAAACCCATAACACAAGTGTTTATTAAAACTCTGTCATAGAGTTTTAATAAACAATTGTGTTATGGGTTATATATTATGAGTTATGTGTTATTACAATTCTTTTTCCAACACTTCCAAAAACATCACAATGAGATTTTTTTGCAACTGTTTGTTGACATTATTTTTATTTACACAAAAATTTTTTTTGACTTCTCCCACCCTTACTTCCCAAAAATATAAATCATGAATTCAAATGGGTTGGACTGACCATTATCATCAAGTATGTTTAACGAATGCATATTGTTTATGTATTCATTAAACATATTTTTAAGCATAGTTCGCCATTAAAATAAATAATTGAAATATATAATTAATTATATAAAGAATTAAATAAAATATATAATTACTGTCTCAAAAAAATACAAAATATAAAAAATTAAAAAATGAAATTTTATATATAAAAATCCACAACCTGTTAAAATGTACACATACTGTTAATATGGAATATAAATATGTTACCATGACACCTACAAAAATAATTAAAAAATGTTACAGGTGTGTTTTTAAATGTAATTATTATAATTATTCGTAATAAAACAAAAAACTAAAAATCAAAATGTAAACAAATAATTATAATTCAATAAAGTTATGTTTCATCAATTTAATTAAATCAGGGTTTTGCCATATAATGTATATAAACTTTCTTAAATTTCTAATTTAAATTTATTTTAAGAATAATACAAAATCTTTAAACAATGATTTTACCCTGAATACTTAAGTTTTTCAAATGTGTGATGTTTTATCATCTTTAAGATGCTCACTAATGTGTTGAGAAATGTTTTGAATTGTTTGTCCTATGTAAAAAATATTTTTTGCAATAAAGTTTCTAGGCAATATATTTTTTTTACTCAGGAGAATATAAGTCAGAATTATTGTTTGTTTTTTAACAAAATAATAAAAAAAAAAGCCAATTGTGTAAATATGTATTTTGCGTATCTACATGTATTTTTTATCTAAATATGTCTCTCAAACCACATTGTTGCAATGCTAAAAAAAAAAGATGGCTAATGATATTGTAATATTATATATTGTTTATTTTAGATTTCTTGTTTTCTATATTTTTGTTTTAAGTAAATAATAAAGAAATAATAAGTAAAAAAAAGGAAAATTGCAAGCAGATGTATCACAACATTCAATTATCCAACAACATTCATATTATTGTGCACTTGTCTTCTTGGTTAATTTGTTTTAAAAAGGGATATTAAAAATATATATTGTAAAATATGTAAAACTTGGTCTTCCAAATTACCATCATTTCGGGAACTTACTGCAACTGTAAGTTGGTAAATTCTTTCAATAATATTTACCCATTAGTTGTACTAGCATGTCAAAATGTAGAATTATTCAATCACTGAATTGAAAATTCATGTTTTAGGCCTCAATTCATGATTCAGATGACATAATTCTAATAATAAAATAAAGCCGCATTTTTGATACTACTTTTTATTTATGATATTTTCTTCCTTGTTAGTTTTATGGTCATTATATAACATAGTTTTCTTATCCCTGAAAATAGAATATATAGATACCTAAAGTAATAAAAGAAAATGAAAAAATTCATTTTCAAATAGCATTGTTACTACGTTCAAAAAACTATTGTCTGAATTAAAGTCAGCAATATAAAATTCCAAGTGTGCAAAATATATTAAGACAGTGCTGACCTAAATTCAAGAAAATAAGTGATATATTAATTTAACTCTTTTGTTACTAGGACTTTCTTGGTTTGGAGTGTTCTCATAACGTACACATTACAACTTCAACTGATATCAGATGTTCGAAACAATTACAACTTCTACTGATATCAGATGTTTGAAACAATTACAACTTCTACTGATATCAGATGTTCGAAACACATTACAACTTCTACTGATATCAGATGTTCGAAAAGTTGGCAATCAGAATATTCTTCTCTTCGGATTTAAAATCAGTTTATAATAAATTGTAATAAATATTTTTTTAAATGGAAAGTTAATAAAAGTAAATAGTGGATACTTATTTCATAACTTTTTAATGAAAGAATGCAGATGATGATGATGATTTTAATAATGATTATGAGTTATGTGTTATTTCACATAACACAGTCGTTATTAAAATAATCATCATTATTATATTAAAATAATCATCATAGTTATGGTTATAATCATTTTGTTACAATCATCATTATGATGTTGACAATGATTATTGATAATTATTGTCATAATTGTTACAACTATTATGATGATAATGATCATTATGATTGTGACAATGATCATTACTATGATAATGAAGATTTTGATGATAATGATCATTTAGTAATGATGATCATTATTATGATAAATCATCATAATGAAGGAAATGATGATGACAATCATTATTATAATGATGAAGATGATGATGATGATGATAATGATGATGATGATGATGTCGATGATGATGATAATAATGATGATGATGATAATGATGATGATGATGATGATGATGATGATGATAATGATAATGATGACGTTGATGATAACGATGATGATGATAATGATGATGATGATGATGATGATGATGATGAAATGGTGATGATGATAATAATGTTGATGATGATGATGATGATGATGATGATGATGATGATGATGATGATGATGATGATGATGATGATGATGATGATGATGATGATGATGATGATGATGTTTATAATGACATTGTATAGCTTAAGTAGTAGGTGTATAAACAAAAAAAAAACTTGCAGAAATCCATCAAATGAATGTATAATGGAAAGAAAGAAACTTTGTTTAGGAAAACCATCTTATTTAGATAGATCTTTAAACACATGGAAACCATTCGGCATGGATAATGATTTATGTTCTCTCTACCTTTTGGATTCAACAAGACTTTCTATAATGAATGTCCAGGTGCTAGAAAATATTAGGTTTTTTTCAAATTTTTAATAAGGTTGGGATCATGATACATAAATTCTTTTAATTCATGCAGTGTTTTTACTTATATTATACAGCCCTCAGAAAAATGAAAAAATGAAAAAACTCCTTATACTCTTAGGGGTTGGCAAAAAAAATTTGACATAAAGGGGTTACCATAAAACATCAGCAATTTTTTGTCAATCTCAAACACTTTTATGGCGGCAATTAGGTCAGCATTGCCGCATGCTGACCCTAATTCCGAGGGCTGACTATATATAAATATATATATATATAATATATATATATATATATATATATATATATATATATATATATATATATATATATATATATATATATATATACACTAATAATGCCTAATGTACGTCATTTGTAATATATTGTTAACTGTTTGTAAAATGTAATACTCTACAGTTTGTGTGTACACTTTATTACAATATATAATACATAATAGTCATTATAAACTATCATACAATTTTGGATAGTTTGGATCCAATATTTAATCTGCACCTATATCTATATCACTGACATAGCAGTGAGTAGCAAAGTGAGTAGAGCAGAGTATTTTGCATTTATCGACTGACTTATATAGAGGTTAGCGCATTGGATTGTACATAAATGTGTTGACTTGATTAGGAATAGTGGAGTGTTGATTAATGGAGGTTTTTTTATTAAAAAAAATTTGTGAACTACGAGTGTCAGAACATTTAGAAAATTTGTAAATGATTTAAAAAATTTTATCTGTCAAGTTGTGTGTGGCTTTTTTATGAATTCTTATGAAATTTTTTTATAAGATTTTTCTTGCTTTTCTTGATTTTAAATATTTTATCAAGTAAAAAACTTTCTACAGATTCATTGATTTTACTAGTACTTGTTCATATTTCAGAATCTCACAAATCTCACGATAAATACTAAATTCAGAATGGGTTCAGTTTCAGATATCACAAATCTAAACTGTTTTTATTCTCAAGATATAAGTGCAAAAGTTTCAGACAGTTACAATAATTTTTTTTAAAAGTTCATGTTAATAAGCTACATAATAATTAAACTGTGTTCTGACCTGATTTGGTTTCATATTATTATGATAAACTGTTTATGGAGTGGTCTGGAAAAAAAGGTTTGAACATCGTGACTAAAACAGTAGTAAGTGACTTGGGGCCCAGCTAAAAATGAGACTTTTTTCAAACCCAGCCCCGACCCTGGCTAAGCTATAAGATTTAGCAGGGATTGATAGCCAGGGTTAGAAAAAAATTTATAATACTTTATATATTATAATTTTATGCTTACACTAATTAAATACTGCATAAATTTATATATTTTCAAACTCTAATTTACTTCCAACAAGATTGCAAGCAACCACTCAAGTTATGAGTTACTTTAAAATAGAGAAAAAGTAAAAATACTATGAAATGGTCAACTGAAGACTTGAAAAGTTGTAGGTTGTATATAAAAGAAAAACACAAAGATTGCTAATAGTTATAAGGTTTTATTTATGTGCAAGGAAAAAAACTTTGGATTAATAAAAGTTTTTGTAGCATGAAGGGATAGATACAGTAAAAGGATGCAACTTTTTAAATAAGAAACAAGCAAGAATGAGTTTTGGTTTATTGTAATAGAGAGGATAGCTTGTTTGAGCATTGACCATGATTGTATTTGTAGAAAAAATAAAGAAATGCAACCTTACAACAATGGGAGAGTGGCTCAAGCTTGGGAGATAAAGCAGGTCTAGTTACATTTACAATGTGCTTTTAGACTTTGTCTAAGGATAAGAAGGTTGTTATTTATCAATATAGGAATGTGAACAATATTGCAATATTTTTTTGCAGTAAATAAATGAGTTTTGTTGTCTAACAAAAGTTGTAGATTTTAAATCCGGACTAATAATGCACAAGCCACTTCAAGCTTTTACAGAAAAAAGTGAAGACTTTTGTCAAGAAAAGAGTATTAAGTTGAGTTGTCAGGAATTAGAGCCACTTTAGATTTCATGAAGATTGTTATTGTAAATAAACAACACAGGAGATATTTGTTATTGTATTGAAACAATACAGGAGCAAAGGTAGAACCTTGTGGTACCCTTAAAGTTACTTGGAATAAAGAAGATGGTAAGCCTTTAAAAATAACTTTACTACTGCAGTTAGAAAAAAATCATGTAATAACCTCAAAACCTTTACATAAAGAAACTAATAACGTAGTAAAAGCTAATTGTAAGATAGTTGAAGAGGTCAAAGTGTTTTCTAAATTTTTGAAAATTCAAAGCACTTATTTAGCACTTTTTAAAAGTTTAGCAAAAATTAAAGAGAGTTCTGAGGAACACTTTTTTAAGACTAAGATGGAAACCTTTTCTGGACTACAAACTGTAGAAGTGTTTTATTGAGAATTAACTTTAGCATTGGAAGCTAAAGTGATTTCAATGTTTAACAATAGGTTAATCTGTTTAACTGGCTGGGAGAGTATGGCTATTAGATTCAAGAGTCAAATTAGAGTAAGATTTCTTTGCAAATAACTCTGCATTATTTTAGGAAGAAGTAAAAAAATCAGATCCATGAATTAGAGATTAAATGTTAGACTTACTTTAGTTAATGACACTGTTAAAAACTAACCAAAAGTCTTTAGAACCTAACATGAGATAAGATACAAGATTTAGTAAACTGAGAATAACAGACCTTAACATCAGAGCTAACATCAGACAGGACTTTTTTACATAAACTTATTGCAATAATAAAAGGACATTCTTAAGAGAGATGTTCTTGTAAAAAAGATGAAAAAAATGATTAATGTTTAATAAAACAAATGCTCAAGATGGTGAAAAATGTGGTGTAGAATGAGGCTTGACTTAAAGTTGAAAAGAAGTAATAAAAGCTTCCAAACGTTCCAGAAGGAATAAAAGCTTCCAAGATGCACTTTATGCATACATAATATGGATATAAAGATGTCTGTTTGCTATTTATTTAGATGCTAGCATACAATATTCTTTCATATTTATATAAACTTAAGTATTTGTATTTGGTGTAGTTTTTGCCAAAATAGAAGACCATTAGATGAGTGTGTGGTGTGACTCAAGCAAGACAAAGAGAGAGTGTCTTACATATTGTATGAATGAGTTTTAATTAAGAAAAAAAATGCTCTAGATTGTTTATATTAGAGAAACAGCATAAAAGAGGAAGGGTAAAAGTTTAGATGCTAATGATGATGATGATCATCATCTTCATCATTATGATCATCATCATTAGCTTCTTCAAAACCTTTCAACTTCCCATAAGAGAAGAGATTGTTCTGGGCAAATTATTGAAAAAACTATTGAACAAAATATTACTTTTCATATATGTCAAAAAATGTAAATTTCATGGAAAAAAGCAACAAATAATTATAATTGTGTGCAATTATACTGCTTTTAATCTTTAAAGATTATAAAAAAAAAGTTAACAATTTTTTTAGATGCCAGAAAATAAAAATCTTTATATATTGATGTGTTATAATTATTATTTTATTTTTTGATAATTTTTTTTTTTTAATTTCTTATTCTTTTGTTATTAGGGGTGTTCTTATTCTATTGTAATTAGGGTTGTTCATATTCTATTGTCTTTAGAGGTGTTACAAAAAATTTATTTGAAATATATATGCAAGCCGTCATTCTTATTCTATTGTCATTAGGGGTGTTCATAATTAAAAAAAAATTGTTTGAAATATGTATGCAAGCTAAAAAGATGTGATATAAGGTAATCACAAGTGATTTCAAAATACAGTTTAATTTTTCAAGAAACTTTTTCACTTTGCTAAACCAAAATTTCAAGAAATTTGAAATATTTACAAGATGTTTTTCACTCTATTCTGTATTTCAGACAAATAAATCAAGAAGTTAAAAAACATATTAACTTAAAACAAAGCTTTAGGTTTCTGCCTTGTTGTGGGCTTTGTTTTCAGTTTCTAGAGTTTTAACCGCATCGTTGTCATCAACAATGTCTAAGCTACTGTTAAAGTCCCAAGTATTAGACAGTGATACCTTGTACTTCATCTCCTCAAAAAATCTACATTCATAAGCAAGGTTTAGCTTCTCAAGAGGTGTTAGGTGTGCTTAGCTAGCTCTTTGTATGTTGCTTTAGCATATAAAACTGGTGTTTTTAATTTTACTCTTGACCTTCAGCATTTTTTGCAGCTTCTTTTCATTATATACCTGCAACACCACTTCCAGAACAGCTCTCTTTCTATCCTGGATCATTAAATATTGCAAAGTTTTTAGCAAATGCTATGAGATCTATTTTCCATGCAAACAAAAAGTAAAAGTCAGTGTATAATCTCCTACATAATCAACCAGTAAAGATGGTGACCAATAAAGATGGCGAATCAACCAGTAAAGATGGTTAATTTGAGAAACTCTTTCATACTTTATTGTTTGAGGATGCCATATTAGCTTTCTAAGCTTCATTGTCAGACCTAAGCTAAGCAAAAGACCTCAAGGGTCTAAGTGCTAAGTTCTATCACCTTTAGAATGGCAAGTAGTAAATGTATATGCAGCTGATTCTGACTCTAGGTGGGCTATCCGTTTAATAAAGTGCTGGTCCTATAAATATAATAATTTAATGTAAATATAATATTTTAATACAATTTTTGTGCACTTTTTTACCAAGTAATTATTTTAAAAATGAGTTTAATTATGGTTTTTAATGATGCCTAATTATTCAACTCTGAGAAAGTTTAAAGCATTAAAAATTAAAATTAAAATTTTCATCTTGTCCACCTCCTTTTTCTTCTTCCTGGCTCAAGTTTACTCACTCAATGTTTTTTCTTCTTCCTGGCTCAAGTTTACTCACTCAATGTTTTTTCTTCTTCCTGGCTCAAGTTTACTCACAATGTTTTTTCTTCTTCCTGGCTCAAGTTTACTCACTCAATGTTTTTTCTTCTTCCTGGCTCAAGTTTACTCACTCAATGTTTTTTCTTCTTCCTGGCTCAAGTTTACTCACTCAATGTTTTTTCTTCTTCCTGGCTCAAGTTTACTCACTCAATGTTTTTTCTTCTTCCTGGCTCAAGTTTACTCACTCAATGTTTTTTCTTCTTCCTGGCTCAAGTTTACTCACTCAATGTTTTTTCTTCTTCCTGGCTCAAGTTTACTCACTCAATGTTTTTTCTTCTTCCTGGCTCAAGTTTACTCACTCAATGTTTTTTCTTCTTCCTGGCTCAAGTTTACTCACTCAATGTTTTTTCTTCTTCCTGGCTCAAGTTTACTCACTCAATGTTTTACATTTTGATATGTGACACCAATTATGTTGGATATAAACAGATGCTACCATGAGGTTTTGTACCATTTGTTTTGTTGTTATTTTTTTAATGTGAAAACCATTGATTTTTGTAACAGTAATGATACTTTGTGGTTTTACTATTTGCATACTTTAACATTAGTTGGTTTTATTATATTTTATATAGATTCAATATGTTCTTTAATGCTATCACAACAATATTTGAAAATATAGTAAGTACAAATGAATATAGGAAGTACAAATTTCAAAATGAGTGATGTGAATTTAGGAGTTTTTCTTTTTTTTTAAACCAAAAACATAAATAAAGTTACATTTTTTAATGATGTCTTGTTTTGTATATTATTCTATTTTGTTTTTTTACTTACCTTTTGTCAATCTAATATAAACTTTATCTTTAATAAATGATAAAAAAAAAATTTTAAAAATAAATGTATATACATTTTTTTTAAATAAATGTATATTTTTTTAAATATAAATGTATATTTTTTTAAAGGAAACATATCAGATTCGTGTAATTTGTTTCGAGGATTTTTTGCATTTTAAAAAACAAGCAGACCAAAGGTTTGTGTTTCAGACTAATTCTGGATTCTATGGGTTACAAGTTTTCAATGAAAAAGATGAAAGTGATATTGAAAATTTGTTTAAAAGCATTAGTTCCTTTCTTGGTGTGTGTAACTTTTTTTTAAATATTTTATTTTTATTTTTTAATAATTTACATTTTATTTTATGATTTTTAAACACATTTTTTTTTGTTCATAAACTATTTTTCCATATATTCAGAATTGCCAAATTAAATCTGGGTAACTCTTAATCAATAAAGATTTTATATGAAAAATCTCTTCTGTTAGTGTTATATTTCATTCATCAGTTGATAATTAGCTTTGATAAGTTCATAATTAGGAACAATCATTAGATGATAGTTTGAAGTAACTAGTAACAAGTAAATTATAATTATTAACAATTTAATCATTGCGTGAAATTTGTCTGAATCTGAAATATTTTATTTTTATCTTTATTTAGTATTTACTTATTTTATCTGAAGTTTAAATTTATGTTAAAGTTTTATCAACATAATAAATAAAAATCAAATACTATAAAATTCTCCATAAGACCTTTTTCATGTTATAATGACCTAGTTTTTAAATAAAAAAAAGTATTAGTGTAAAGGGAAAAGTTGTTTTAATGAGCAAAGTTTATATCAAATATATATATATATATAATATATATATATATATATATATATATATATATATATATATATATATATATATATATATATATATATATATACATATATATATATATATATATATCTTTTCATGACCTAAACAGATATGCTTAAATTCATTTTGAAAAAACACTAGAAATTTGGCATAAAACCTCTAACATTTTCATTCAACACTTTTCATTTTTTATATCATTCTTTTTTTTTTGATTTTCTAAGTAGGTAGGATTTTACCTTCATACTTTTTTTGTTTGGAAACAATATTGATTTTGATCTCTTCTTATCCTGTCAGCCAATATCAGTATTTTTCTTAATGAGTTTAACAGTTCTTTTAGAGTAATCATTGACAATAGCTGTTATTCATTGATAATATTCAATGTTATTAAGGTGAAAACCACCTAAATGTTAGAACTTGTTTATATTCAATATTAATGGTGAAGGGGATCATTCTATGTCAGTTACTCTTACTTTGGTCTTTTATAAGTAAAAGCTCAACTTTGCTGTGACCAGTGATGGCTTAAAGACTTTAGTCAGTTAAAATCCAAAGAGTTGAGGCATTTCATCACTTATTCTGATTAATGGACCTTTATCCAGGCTATATCAATCTTTATTGTTTTTAAACATTTTTTCTCCACATTTTTTATCAGCTAGGTCTAACATTATAAGATAAGGTTCCAGTAACCATGTTTGCCTTTTAATAGATTTAATTTATTATTCTGCTAAATTAAAGTTGTTCTCCATAAATCTGCTTATTTGCTAAATACTAAATACTTTTGCTAAATACTAAATACTATTTGCTAAATACTAAATACTTTTGTTCGAAAATGTAAAATAAATCTGCTTATTTGCTAAATACTAAATATATTTGCTAAATACTAAATATTATTTGCTAAATACTAAATACTTTTGTTTGAAAATGTAAAAGACTGACCACAAATGCTGCCGCTTTAGTGCCTTTATGTTTCAGTTGATTTTTCAAACTGGGCATCCGTCAAAAGCTGGAGTTTAGGTAGTAGATGCTATATATATATATATATATATATATATATATATATATATATATATATATATATAGCCTTATTTATTTGAAAAACCATTTTGACAAAACTTGTACTTGCCTCAGATAGCACCATAAGTGTAAGATCTGCCAGCTCAATATAGACTTTTCTTGTAGTTTCATCCTTAAAATTGAAATAAAGTTATATGCTGAAAGACTTAATTTACCAGACTTCAAAAACACAGGTTTGTTTGGTTTCCCAGTGTTGATTTTCGGTTGTACCAAATAAAAGAGCTTGCATATGGTCTGTTCAAAGCAACTATGATTGCACTTTTCTCAGAATAAATTGCTGGAATTCTAAGCAGAATTTTCAGTTTTTTTGTTGAATTACATTATGATTCCTAATTGTTCTTTACCCAACATTTATTTTGAGTATATTTACAACACACTTTTCTATTAAAATTAATATAAACTAAAATAATCTTATTGAAGTTGTAGAAGTTTTTGAAATGGTTTTTGATCTTTTCTTATTCAACCTGAATGAATCAGTTGCTCTCAATGCCATAAGTTTGATTGCATGGAGAAATGCTATAAGTTTCATAACATGGATAAATGCTATAAGTTATTAGCATGGATAAATGCTATAAGTTATTAGCATGGATAAATACCCTAAGTTTCATAGCATGGATAAATGCTATAAGTTTTGTAGCATAGATAAATGCTATAAGTTTCATAGCATGGATAAATACTTGTTAATCAGAATAAGTGTCATCATGGAGATCTTGATTTAATTAGACCAAAGCCTCCAAACTTGTTTTATTGGACACAGAATTGTTTTAGTTTATGTTTCCTATAATAAACTAGATTAAAAATAACTTTTATATGATAATCCTAATTTATCTCTCCCTTCCTTCCAAAATGTTTGACATAATGAATTCTGATTTGTTATCCAGCTACTTTCAATAATTACTCTGAAAGAACTGTCAAACAGGTAACTTTGAAATTGCAACAGAGGAAGAGAAGAGATTAGAGATTGTTGTTTCTGCACAACTACAAAAGGAACTATGGAGATAAAATCAAAAAAATCAAAAAAACCAAAAAAATAAAAAAAAGACATAAGAATAATATTCTTTTTTTTTTTAATAAAAAATTAAAACATTTTTAATAAAAAATAAGACATTAAAACATTTGTTGAATTAAAATGTCGTTTTATGCCATTTTATATTCATTTTTATATTTTTATTTATTTGTTTCATATTTTTAATAATTTTTTTGAAATGACTCAAAACATAACAGCTTTAGAAAAAAGAGTATCAGCTTTAGAAAAAGCAATCTAAGCTAAAGACAACCAGTTAACTGAAAAAAAAAACAAAAAATAGAAGAACTAATAAAAAAGTTAGGAGTTAAAAATTGTAATGATGAAAAAAGTAACAAGGAGCTTTGGACTGATGTTGTAAAAGGTAAGCAGAAGAGAAAATAAATATATCAACTCAACTTGATTAATGCAGCAGTCAAAGAATCAAAAGAACAAAAAATGCGAGAAAAATGTAATTATTTTTGGTTTAACAGCATCTACAAATAAAAATAAAGATAATGCATTTGACAAGGATAAAAACAATGCGATAAATATTTTAAATAAAATTGATACAAATGTTAAATTTTTTTATCATGTTGGTATACAAATGCTACATCATTATTTTGTAAATACAATAAATTTATTGCTGAAATAGTCACATCTTACCCACAGATACTTTTTATTAGTGAAACATGGTTTAATGAAATGTCATTAAATAATGTTCCCGGTTATAATATATTTTGCTTGAGTAGCTAAACAAGGAGGGGGAGGATGCATATATGTCAAAGAAAATATTAAATCTACTGCCGTTTCTGATAAAATGTTAAATGATGACAACTTTTGGTCAAATTTGGTCTCCAGTTACAAGTGTAGTGCCACAAGGCTCTCTATTAAGTCCATTTATGTTTACTGTTCATATAAACAGCTTACTAAATGAGTTATCAACAAAGTGTAAAATGTATGCTGATGATATAAAGCTAATTAACATAATTAGATCATCTTCTGATACAGAAACAAATTCAAACAGATCTAAACAAATTAATGACATGGTCAAAGTTATAGCTATTGAAATTTAATGTTAGCAAATGTAGACGCATGCATATAGGTAAAAAAAATACTAAGTATATATACACAATGTATGATTTTAATAGAGTTGAACTACCAGAAACAAAAATTGAAAAAGATTTAGGAATTATAATTTCAAACGACTTAAAATGGTCTAGTCAAGTTAATTATGTGTCTGGTAAAGCTAATAAAATGTTAGGAAAAGTAAAACATTAATTTAAAAACTTAGACATTAACCTGTCTAACTTCATGTACACCTTTCTTGTAAGACCGTATTTAGTCTACGCAAATATATTGTGGTATCCTTACATTGAACATGACAAAAAAAAATTGAATTGGTACAAAATAAAACATAAAGAAAATGTCTTCAAGGGAAAACTATAAAACTAGACAAACCTACTTTAAATTAACGACTCTTGAAAAAAGATGTGGAGGTAATGACCAAATCCAACTTTACAAAATAGTAAAAAAATAGATAATTTAAAATTGGAATACCCACCTGATTTAATAGCTTCAAATATGAGAGGTCACAATATGAGGTTTAATAGACAATTAACTAAAAATCCAAAGAGATACTATTTCTTAACAAAGCGTGTTATTAACAGCTGGAATAACCTAGACCAAAACATAGATTCTAATACACTTGAAGAGTTTAAATCAAAGTTGGACTTTTTTTTAATACAAATTGACTTTTAAAGCCTAGATTACCTAGGCTCTGTACATTGTAATTGTACATGAACACAGTTATTGTTAAATAAATAAATAAATATACAGGTCTGCGCAGTAGATAAGACTCCATGTTATTTAATATCTTTTCATGACCTAAAACTACCTAATATACATATATAGAATAGTAGCTTATTATAGAATACATATGTAGAATAATAGAGCTTATTGTTAAAAAAAAACTTGTCACATAAAAGTAAGTTTTATACTCTTTATTTGTTTTACAAAATAAGCGTACTTTATAAGATATTTTGGATGCTTTTATAAGTGAGTTTGCAAATAATATTGAATAACTGGAAGTATTTTTTGTTTATCTTAGGAATACAAAAGGAAACAATGTCCTCAGTTATGCCACCAATGAACAATCAAAATATATCTATGATTAATTCTCCTAACAAAAGCAGTTTCATTGATCAAGAAAAAAAAACATTTGATATTATACCACCTGACAACGGTAAAGAAAATTTTTTTTTTCTTTTTATTAACATCTATTGTGTTTTTAACAACAAATAAAAGGTTTTTTTGCTAAGTTGCTTATATTTTCAATAACAAATAATTTTTTTGTTTGGTATTTGATTATTATACTATTGATACTGAACCAATTTTTAATATTATGATTTGATAGAACAATTTTTAATATACAAATTTAATTGAGAATAAAAACTTCAAATGCCGAATGAATTAGGCCGTTGATTTCTTAGAATTTTTGAAAAATACAAGCTTAAGATTTCTTAGATATTGAACTTTATAGAAAATATACTTTCTGCTTTTGTAAAAATAGATTTATATAACAACATTCACAATAAAATGTAAAAAATAAAATAAAAAACAAATACACTTAAAGTTTTGTATACTCACAAATAAACAATATAGTCACATAAATTGTTTTTGAATAAAAATATTGCCTTAAAGTTATTTAAAGGATTAAAAAATTACAAATTAAAGTTTTCCCTTTTGAACAAACTTAATAGAAAGCCTTTAATATGTCAAGAGCAATAGTCCTTGCCTCATCACTTCAATCCATTGTGCAATAGTGCCTTACTGTTGTAATGATTAACTATGCAATATAGATTTTAATAGAAAATTATATATATTATATAATAAAATATATATTGGTTGTCATTAGAAAAGATTTAAAAGAGCGTTGTTTAGGCTACAATCTGTCAAAGAGTTTAAATGAATAACAACTTTAACATTAAAAGTAGTAGTGATTTGGATGTCTAATAATTAACTTGTTTCTTTGAGGGAAAGAAAAAGAATTATCTATTTTTCAAAAAATGATTTAAGAGAAAGTTTTTTTTGCAAATTGCTCTGTCTTATCCTTGGGAGATGTAATAAGATCAGATCTTTTTATTAGAAATAGATTGTTACAATCAGATATTCTATATCTCCGGCAATTATGATTTTTATATTTTTTGGGAAAAAAACACATACTGAAAATTTTTAGTCCCTGTGTAATAAGGTAACTAATAATATATTGAATAACTCACAACCAGGAGGTAATCCACTGGTTAGGGTGGTAACCCTCCTATCAAGTTCAAACGGCGCTTGGATCAAACCAGGAATAAAGGTAAAAGAATTAATTGCAATAACCATAAAGGAAGTTAAAAGTGAACTAATGGAGAGGAATAATTTGGAGCTCGTTCTTATTGATAAAGATGCATTAATCAATGATTTAAAGTTGAAAGTTGAAGTACTGGAAAAAGAGTTGAAAGTTGAAGTACTGGAAAAAGAGTCTGTAAAAATGGTTCTATTAATAGTAAAAGTACAAAGTATAGTGCTCGAAATAATTATTCGAAGGTTGCCGATCAACATTGATTAGCTGAAATAAAAAAATTAAAAAACCAGACGGTTTTTATTAAATTTTTACTAAAATTTACAATGCATTTTTTTGATCCTACCTCATTTTTGTTTTGCCGTTATAATTTTGAAACTTTTAATTAATTATAATTTTATTTATTCTCTTTAGAATTTAAGTAAATCGTTCATTTTGCCGTTTTGAATTTGTTAATTTTATTTAGAATTTAAGTATACCGTTGGTTTTGCCATTTTTCTTTTTGTATTATTTTGAGTTATATATAAAACATTGCTGCTTTTATTTTAATTATTTTATTTAGAGTTTGTATATATTGTCTGTTTTGCCGTATTTCTTTTTAATTGTTTTAATTTGAATTTAAATAAAACATTACTGTTTTTATTTTAATTATTTTGTTTGGAATTTAAATTAACATTAGTTTTGCCATATTTATTTTAGTTATTTTATTCATAATTTAAGCAAATGTTCGCTTAAATTTTATTTAGAATTTAAAAAAAAATTATTTTGCTGTTTTTATTTTAATTATTTTATTTTGAATCAAAATAAAACTTTGCCGTTTTTTATTATATATATTTTATTTAGAATATAAATATAATGTTTGTTTTTCCGTTTTTATCCTAATTATTTTATTTAATGTATAATTTAATTTTCAATGTGCTGTTTTTATTTTATTTTATTATAGAAAATAAACAAATGGTTTGTTTTACCGTTTTCATTTTATTTATAAATAAAATAAAACTTTGCCGTTTTTTTTAAATTATTTTATTCAGAATTTAAATAAGTTGTTTGTTTTGCCGTTTTTACCTACATTATTTTATTTAGAATATAATTCATTTCAAAATAATTTTGATGCTAATTAAATTTTAACTTTCTGTATTTAAAATGTTTTTGTATTAATAATTAGAAAAGTTTGACTAGCAACTTCTACCGATCAAATTTGATCGGCCAGAAAGTTGTTGCAAAAAAGAAATTAAAACTAAAAAAGCGCAGATTTAAATAAGGAGCAGCTCGCACAGCTCCCCAAGTTCATTTTAGAAAAGCTTTTCTCAGCTCTTGTGCTCATTTATTCCCGCCAAGGCCTGTCATATCATTGTTTATATATATATATATATATATATATATATATATATATATATATATATATATATATATATATATATATATCCTGCCAAGGCCTGTCATATCATTGTCAATCAAATTAGGCCAACAAGATATTTCATCCAAGCATATTAATAATAAACCACTGTCAAAACTAGCCTAATATCTTTTAAACGACCATGTCAGATGTTATTACACTAACGCCACTTAATAACAAGATGACACAATTAAATGCTTTAGCAAACTCGCTAAAGCCAAACATTGCTATTACCGAAACTTAGTTTGACAATTTTAAAATGCACTCATCTAGTAAATTACAAACTGTTCAATAAAAATAGACTCAGTCATGGCAGGGGAGTGGCTATATGTGTCAGACGAAATACGATTCTTTTGAGACTATCAAAATTATGTAGTACAAAGTTAGAGCAAGTTTAGTACGGAATCAGATTTGATAAAGAAACAATTTTATTTGGTGCATTTATAGGCCTCTACCTAAACCAAGTAATAAACCAAGTGATGCAATATGCAAAGGATCCTAAATATTAAAAAAACTCAGTCAAGTCGAGAAAAATTGAAGTTTCGATAATGTTTTATTATAAACTGAAAATTTAAACTATCAAGTTGATGATTCAATATTCTAATAACTTTTTTTTAATATCATATATTTTAGTTTATAATTCATTATAAATTTAAAAATTTATATATTTTTTTATTCTATTTCTTTACACTTAAGTATTTAATCACAATTCTTTTTAGCTTTTGATTGATTTTGATTCAGAGCTTCTTGAATTTCGACAAAAAAAAGGATGTTGATGGTTCTATTTTGCCTTTAATGCAATCATATAATTTTTCTTGGAGACTATTTTCTTTTAATGCAAAAATTTGATGAAATAATCTTCTTTCGTGAAAAAGTGTGTAATTTTTATTTTTAAAATAATCATATACCAACATAATGTTTTTATGATTTTCAAAAGTGAAGATTAACATCTCTGCAAATTTATAATCGATATCAGTTTCTACAATCTTCAATTTGCTAACTAACATTTCCATAACAATGTTGCACTTCAAAACTGTTGTATTTTGTTTCTCCAAGCGAACTGCAGCAGCAGCAATGACTTCCAATAAATCAGACAGCAATTTCAGTTCATCCAAGTCTGCCATTTAACACGTTTAATTCCTCTGGTGTCTTTTTTTACAACTTCTAAGCTGTAAAAAAAAACACATCCAAAAATCTTTATATAATCTAAAAAACACTGTTTCATTTAGCGCTGTTTTCGAGCAGCAGTACTTTGTCATGCAAAGATCTGTAAATTTCGTGTTTCTTTTAGAACTTCATATCAAAACAATAAATATATCAAGAACGTAATTAGTACTCAAAGTCTCTTTAGAACTTTTTCGATATTTTCTTCAGATTCAATCTTTTCTAATGAATAGTATTTTCTAATGAAAAGGTCATCCATAAAGTACATACGCTCATAGGGGGGAGGGGGAGGTCTTCAAAAAGCGTACGAAAGTGTAAGGGGTGGGAGGAGGAGGGTTCAATTTTAAAAGTATGTACATCAGTTTTCTAATTTATCACAATTAACTAGCTAATCAATAGAAAAATTAAAATTCTGACTAAAGATCCTAGTTTGCCAATAAAAAAAGATATTTGGTATAGGAAGTAGAGGGTATAGTTTCCCTCGATGTGCACACATGCATAGGGGCCCGCAGGATTTTTTGATGTTCGAGATAGGACACTTTCACACATTGTGCAAACTCTAAACTTAAGTATGTTTATACCTACACCAAATAAAAAGGTCTTGCAAAAAGATTTATCTTGTATAATTGTATTTATCTTGTATAAATTCATCATCTTCATTTCCCTCATTAATGGCTTTCATGCTCAAATTTGTTTTTTCCGTATATAATTCTGCAAGCATCTTTTTGTGCACTAAATATCCTTTTAAGTTTAGAGGGTTGTGTGCTTGCCCACACAATGTTACCATAATTAATATAGCTATAAATTAGGCTGAAGTATATTAATTTAAGACTTTGGGTATTAATTAAAAGACTAGCTCTATACATTATACTGATAGTTTTTTTAATTTTTGATTCAATGTATTTTATGTGGGAAAGCCAAGATAAGTTTTTATCTACATAGACTCCCAGGTACTTTAAATATTCTTGTAACTGAATTAACATTTTATTCAATTGATGAAAAAATAGTTTTTTGCAAAACATTAACAGACCTTTCATTACCATTTACTAATTCATCTTGTCCATTAGACAAAGATTTAGATGGTTTTGCATATCCTTCTCCAAAAATTAAACATAAAAAGTTTTTCAATTTTTCTCGTACTCTGAAACTCCGAAAAATAGATAAAAATTGATGGAGTTTCGAATGGATAAAAATTGATGGAGTTTCGAGATGGAGTTTCGAATGGATCCTTTGGCAATATGACTACAATTACGTAAAATTGCTTTAAAATACTCTATTGTTGCAGCCTCAAACTTAGTTAAAAAGAGGGTGTTTTCGGGTATGTGTATTGTTTGGGGACTTTAATTACAACAAAATTGTATGGGACTTGGATAACACTCCTTTGTGTTCCAGTGGACTTGGTGCTCCAGCTGCACCAGATCATGAGTTCATCAGTACATTAAGTAAAAACTTTATTAATCAATCACCTTTCCAATATTTGTTAATTCAAGTGGTAATTGTTGCAATTACCTTGATTTAATTCTATTAGAGTCCATGAATAGAGTTTTTGACAGAGCAAATCCACCGCTAAGTGTTTACACTAAACAATTTCATGTATCAATTTGCCGAAACCTATTTATAGCCAATGTTCATAAAACAGACATTCAAAGGAAAAGTTATAATTTTAGGAAAGATAACTTCCCAAATCTAAGTTTTGAGCTAAGCAAAGTTGGGATCATCTATTTATAAACAAAAAAACTAATGATCACTATAACATATTCTTAAAAGAGCACAACCAGCCGATAAACATTTGTACACCTGTAAAATGCTCTAAAAATCTCAAAATGCAACCACCTTGGATGAACAGATCGCTAAAACATTTATTTAAAAGAAAACAATGACTATGGATACTAGTACAGCAAACTCGTTCAAAAATTATATATCCATTGTCAACAATTATAAAGCATCATCCTCATCACCAGCCTTTTTTCTATATCTGCTTTTCTTATAATCAACATCAGGCAGTTTGTCTTTGGCTTTTTTTAAAAAAATGATAAAACATGCAATTTTTCACATATATCTGTACTGATTTGGTGGTCTTGCAGTGATTAGCTACAGGACTCGATAAATTAGCGTGAAAAGTGTGAAAACATTTAGTGTAAAATTGACAGAAAAATGAACATCAAGTTTGTCGACTTCCAGCACACATTTTGCCCCTTTTGTTTTAAAGTTTGTTTTTAAATTTTTATTTCACGCTAAAAAACCTTATTTTATGTTTTAAAAACCATGGAATTTTTATATAAATTTAAATAGCAAATAAAAATTAAGTTTTTAAGTCGCATAAGTGACGAGTAATAAGTGACGTAACAATATGAAAAGGAATAACAAAATTTGATATAAATATGAAGGTAAACAGATAAAAAAAAACCTCAAAAACCTCGAAACCTCGAAAAATGAAAAAAACATTTAGTATAGTAGTTTCAAAATGTTTTTAAAAAAAAGAGTTTTGTTTTATAAATTGTACAAGATAAATTTATATTTTCTTCTATTTTTTTGTTGTTTTTTTTTGTTTTTTGTTTATACTTTCAGGAAAACCAACTTTACAGCATTTTGTAAAAGTCATCTACTGTTTCCTTCATCTAGTAATTTATTTATTTTTATAATACTTAAAGCCTATAACTAATTATGCTATAGCTAGTTAATATTTGTATTTTATCATTATATTTAAAAGGCTTTCCCTATTCCTAGCTCTACCCCTACTCTAGTAGGGAATAAAGCTTGGGTTTGATTACAGCATTTGTAATCTTGGCTTTGATTACAGCATTTGTAATCATGGGTTTGACTACAGAATTTCTAATTGTGGGTTTGATTACATTTATTATTTGTAATCGTGTAAAATAAAATGATAAGCATGTTAAAACCAAAAAAAAATTGGTTTTTCTTGATTGTTTTGGTTATTTATACTTTTTTTTTTTTCAACATCTTCCAACATTTTTCATACTTGATTTCTAAAATGGGATCAATAAGATAGTTACATGGACTATAATTATATGATATCTGCTCAATTGATATTCTACTCAATTCACAAGCATCAAAATAAAGACATGCCTTTGAATTAAATTAAACAAAACTGTTTTCAATACATTGAAAACAAATACCTTAAATTTAACGCCATATCATATTTTCTCAAGCATTAAAAAAAATAATACTAGATAAATAAAAGAAGTATTTTAGAATATAGTTCTTTCTACATAGCAAAAAAAACTAGTGGTAAACCATTTAATGTTGAGCCTTTTTTTCAGCTAGGATGTTCCCAAAAGAACTGTTTATAACATGATATACCTTTAGAATATCCATATATTTGTATATCTGTATAACATTCATAACACAGCCTTCTAAATTAGGATTGGCATTCAGCAATGCCGACCTAACTGCCGATTTGTAAGTGTTTTGGGTTGACAAATTTTTGCCAACCTTGTTTCTATTTTTTATGGTAACACTTTTGTGTCAATTTATTTTTGCCGACCTCTAACATTTTGAGGTCTGAAATAAATTGGTGACCTCAATTTTTCAAATCCCGAGGTCTGAAAACATAATATATTTTAAACATTCCTCTTTCATCAGAATTATTTATTTATTTATTTTTTGCAAAATGAGATGAACTGCCTGGTCCCAAATTGTCAAATTTATTAATTCATTTTACATATATTTTTTTTTTTTTCATTATTGAACGTCTCAAAAAATCTATTAACAAATTGCATAATTTTTTATCTTGATTCGTTTAATCTACTATTAACATTTGTTAATAGTAGTTAGAAACTGTATAGGTCAGGGTTAGGGTTAGGGTCAGGGTTAGGGTTAGGGTTAACTAATTAACTAGTTTTTCTATATAGCTTACTTATGTTCCACTTCTCCCAATTAAGCACGAGACATGTCTTGTGCTTACTGGGTCTCTCAGATGTTTAATGATGTTTTTTCTCTGTTTCTCCATAAATGTACAATTGGATTTTAAATCCAGGGATGACAAAAGTCATAGCAGAACTATTACTGTTACTGTTTACTGTTATGGTGTAACAATGGTATAACATATTGTACTCCAATGTATTTAGTTTTTTTTTGTAATCTCTTTGTAAACTATTTATTATGTTTCTAGTAAAGTGTTTCAATCTTTTTAATAAGCTATTTATTGATTAATTATCTCCCTAGTAAACTAATGCTTATTTGATTTTCATCTCCCTAGTAAACCAATTCTTGTTTTGTTGGTGATAACTATTTTTATAAAAAAAAAAATTTATTTGATTTTTATTCAACTAGTTATTCTTTTTTTTAGACACGATTTGTGACAAAATGCGAACTGCTATTGAGTGTGGAAATATAGAGGAGGCTAAAGAACTTGTTGCAAAGTTAGCAGAGAAAGGACTAAAACTGATTTTACATGTCCTAGAGTATTCAGACATTAATATTTCTATTCCTGTAAAAATTGAAGGCCGTGATGGAAAGTCAATAACTGTAACTTTGCTTGTAAACCCCAATGAAACAATTAGAATGCTTAAGTTTAAGGTAAATTAAAAAATGTCTTCAAATTTAGTTTTATGATAATTATTGTAAAATAAAATTAATTTGGTTTTATGATAAGTAATGTAAAAAAAAACAAAAAACTTTGTTACTTTAAGCAATAGTTCAAAATTTTTATTTAAAAAATAAATAAAAAATTACAATACTGTTGCTGGTTTTGATTTTGACTTTGCCAAAGTTTCGGATCTGGTTTCAAGTTGACTTTAATTCAACATTTTGTTACAACATATATTTTTGGAAAGTTTTAATTTCTTAATTACCGTTTTGGATTCTAAATTACTTTGTTTCTAAATTAATGTTTTGGTTGATCACTAGCTAACATAGCTAAAATAGCTATGTTTGTTATTGTTATAAAAATATATATAAACATATCAAAAATATCTAACACACCTAGATACAGTTTTACTATTTTACTAAAATAGTAAAACGGTAAAAAAATATTGTGCTAACACTATGATGGTTTTATAATCAATCATTGGTTTTAAAAAGAAAATTATAGTTATAGTATTTTATTAAATAGTAATACATTCTGATAATAATATATATTTAAACAAGGGTGACCCTCGTGAACTATAAAATATTGATGGCTATGCATTACTAGACAGCACTCGTCAAAATTAATTTGGCAGAGGTGTTGTCATCTACATATTTAATAAGTTAAATTGGGCGAGGCATAACAAACCGGCTTAGAAAGCATTTGTTTTAAAGTAATTTTTCCGAATATGAAGGACATTATTTTGTGGCCCACCATATGCCTTTAAATACCTTTACAAAAAGGTATAACATTCTTTAAAAAAGGTAGAAAATTCTACCTTTTGGATTGGATATGTGATATTAAGGTAGGATATGTGATAGCAAAGTATAGCTTTCTACTTTCTAAGATAGAAAATTACCTTTAAGGTAGAAAATTGTATTTAAATAATTGAAAAATCACTATTTTTAATAAAGTTTTCTACATTAGAAGGTAGGTATTTCTATCTTTTTTTTTAGTGTGAAACTCCAACTTTTATAACTTATTTTTAGAAAGATAGCTAAACTAGATTCAAAAGAAACAATAATAATGGGAAATCTCAATGTTAATTATTCGAAGTCAAATGATGATATTGAAATAAAACCTGTTTTATAGTTTCAAACAACCAATAAAAAGTGCTACAAGAATAAGATTGACATCTTTTATTTTAATTGATCTGATGAATGATGTATAAACTCCCATATCAAAATCTTTTATAATACCAATATCTTTCAGTTATCATGACCTGACTGAATGTATATGTAAATCCAATCATACTAAATACAAACCGAAAATAATAAAGTATAGACATTTTAAACAATACACTAAATAACAGTTCTACAATTTTCTTTGTGCCTGTGATTGGTTATTCATTCTACTTTTAACTAATGTAAACATGTCATGGACTAACATAAAACAAATAGTTTTATTCTGTCTTAATAAATTAGTCCCAAATATTGAAAAAAAATATTTGAGGTAAACCATGTCAATGGTTTACAGGTGAAGTAAAATGCCGAATGAACATTAATTTCGTGAAATCAAAGTTAGCAATTGACCAATAACTTTTTTAAAACAAGAGTATGAATATCGTGCTTTTATAAAACATTGAAAACAAAACTATTACCAAAATATACTACATAAATCTGCAAATGAACCAGAAAGTTTGTGGGGTAAAATTAAAAATATTTTACAAATAAATCTTTCCAAAACAAAATCTTCAAACACCACAAAATTTATTATCAACTCTTCTTTGACCTTTAATCTTCCTAATTGTCTGCTTTTTGTGATTACATAAATGATTAACAAAACTAGCTGCAATTTTGTTTGTGAATTACATAAAACAAAAAATCAATGCAGGTTTGAGCAGTATTTTTTGATCTAAGTAAAGCATTTAACACATTGTGTTATGCTGTTATGGTGATACTAGTTTAAAGATTACCTATTTAACAGATCTTGTTTTTAAAGCACAATGTCTGAAACAGGTAAAGTTATATGTGGTATACCTTAAGTATCAGCATAGGGCCCTATTTTTTAACATCTTCTGCAGCAGTATGCATTTTCAAGGCAACTATTATACTCTCTTTTAAGCTAGTGTGGAAATCTTTGCCTTAACCTAATGAAATCCAAAATTGATAAGCTAGACTCTTTGCGTACAGGTGCTTCTCTTATAATAAATGTAAACAAATGTAAACTTTGAACTGTTCAACCATGCAAAACTACTTTGAAGTGTTCAATCATGCAACATGTAATAACCACCACTTAATTGAAGTTCATAAAATCTGTTTTAAATATACTAGAAGGTCTTTCTACAGTGGGTTGCCATCTAATTAGAGCCAGTGGTAATTTTTTGTAAATCTTGTGTAAAAACAAACAAAAAGATAAAGAAAGTTGCAGTGTATAGCTTACACTTTTTATTGACAAAGTATTATGCGATATTAAAATTTAAATATTTACTACTTCCATTGATTTTAATTTTTTTTATAACAGGTTGTACATTGATAACTGAATAATAATAATTTCTAAAGTCCTGTATAAATATATATATGGGCAATTCCGCAAGTGGCGATCGTAACATTTGACGTTATTTAAGCTATTAAAAATGAATCAAAAATAGAAATGACTTGAAACTTCTCAGAAATGTGGAATACTATTGCATAATTTATTATGAAAAAGTTACAGTATCGAAGTTTTATACATTTTTCAAAAATTGACTCTGCGTAGCATGACGTAACGTTTACTTTTTACCACTTCTGAACAAAACAGCTTCGTCAGACTAATTGCAGCGAACGGCATGGTAAAAAAAAAATCATTTGGTGTGTGTATTTAGCACATATTGATGTTATTATATGCTTTATAAGCATTTCTATGTTTTTTTTTTGTTGTGACTTTCCTTTCTTTCTTTTTCCAAAAACGCTTTTATCGTTTCTTGCACAATAAGCTTTTGATCTTTCAGCATCTGATTTAGGCATTTAAAAAATGTTATTAAATATAACTTTTGAAATTAACGTTTTGTTATGATTAAAAAAACAAAAACGTGAAATTTATTATTAAAAAAAACGCGAAATTTAATAAACAAAAGTGTTGCGATGCAAACTATAAAAAAACGTTTTAACGGAGAAAAAAAAATTTTATATGTTTTTATTTCTCAAAAAATATTAGTTTTATTAGTTTAAGTTTATTTACATCAATTATTTTAAATAAGTGATTCATATTTTAAAAAAGAAATAATTTCTAATTTTAAATTATTCTAAATTACTTTAACAAGCTTAGTAATATTTTTAGTAAATAAACTGCAAATAATTTTTAATTTGGTTTCAATAATAAAATTGTTCGCGCTGAGACTTTTTATGTAGTTGTCAAGAAGTCATTATGGAAAAACAAACATAACGTGATGGTCGTAACGCACTTTGTTACATCTTAATACTATCATCTAAAGCTCTTTTTAAAAAAAATATTAAAACAATGATAAAACTTATATCAGTATCTTTACTTTTACTATATTTTTATACTTTTATAAAGTCTGATATGAAGCCTAGAAAAAACTTCTTAACTTTTTTTTGTGATGATTGTAATGCACTAATTTGATAAACATATTCTTTTTTTATACATAGTTGGAGTGCATTTATATAAATAATATTCTAAATAATGTTTAATATTGTCTTTAAGTTAAACTTAAAAGTAATAGTTACATAAAAACGCAGCACATTAACCTTTTTCAACGCTTCACAACAGGACTAAAAACTTGTTTATATAACCCTTACGACTTTAAAACAATGCTATGGTATGATAAAATAATTTTTTTAATCATTTTTTGGCTTAAAAGTATCCTTAAATAGTTAAAAAAAAGGATTTATTGAGGTTAGCATATGTTTTCCTAACTTTTTTTCTTTTTTTCCTCTCTCTTGCGGAATAGCCCATATATATATATATATATATATATATATATATATATATATATATATATATATATATATATATATATGTATGTGTGTGTGTGTATATATATATATATATATATATATATATATATATATATATATATATATATATATATAGATAGATATAAATATATATATATATATATATATATATATATATATATATATATATATATATATATATATATATATATATATATATATATATATATATATATATATATATATATATATATATATATATATATATATATATATATATATATATATATATATATATATATATATATATATATATATATATAGTTTGTTAAATAAATAAATAGATAAAATAAATCTCTTAACTGTGGCATTTAAATTTAGAAGTTGTGTTGTTTTTATGGTGTACAAATTTTTAACTTCTGCTTATTATTGCACAAATAGTAGAAAAATAAAAGTGCAAATTTAATAAAAATATTTTTAATAAATTTAATAAAAATATTTTTAATAAATTTAATAAAAATATTTTTAATAAATTTAATAAAAATAAAAATAAAAGTGCAAATTTAATTAAAATATTTTTTTGAAACTAATTTACTCCCAACAAGGCTGCAAGCAACTACTATTATGTTAGGGGTTACTAGAAAAGAATAGTGTTAAATAGCAAGGAAATAGTTGACAGAAGACTTAAAAAGTTGAATCATTTTTAAAGTAGAAAAACATGAAGAAGGAAGAGAGTTTAAAAGCACAGAAAAAATGGATAGAGTTGTAAAGAAAGGGGAAAAAACAAATGGTAGAGAGGCTCAAGCTTCGTAGATGAAGCAGGTCCTTATAAAGAGAAAATAGTAAGAGAACCTAATAAAGAGAACCTTAGCAGATGCTAATTTTGCAATTGATTGTATAACTTTAGCAGACTTTTTAACTTCTAATGGATTGTATATATGGTTTCCATGAGAGGTAAGTAGTGAACAATAATCCAAGAATACATAAAAAAGTGGACTTAGTGAGAGGGTTGCCATTCATTAATATAGGAATGTTGGCAATATTGCAATAGTTGT